TTGAGGGGTGATGTGGGGGGGGGGGGCGGGGTGCGGGGAGGGGGCTTCTGCAGTGAGGGACTTGTGCCACGCACGGGGCCGTGCGACGCGCGGCCTCGTGCAACGAGGGACTTGGGCGAGGCACGGCCTCGTGCAGTGAAGGACTTGTGCGAGGCACGGCCTCGTGCGAGGCACGGCCTCGTGCAGTGAAGGCCTCGTGCGAGGCCGGGGGGCGTGGCCCGCCCAGTTTGCGGCAGGGGATTTGTGCCAGGCGCCGTGTTCCTGCAGCGAAGGCCGTAGTGCCACGCACGGCCTCGTGCGATGCACGGCCTCGTGCAAGGAAGGCCTCGTGCAATGCACGGCCTCGTGCAATGGAAGGCGGAAGGCCTTGCGCAATGCACGGCGTTGTGCAATGAAGGACTTGTGCAATGCACGGCGTTGTGCAATAAGGAACTTGTGCGATGCACGGGGTCATGCGACGCACGGCCTCGTGCAACGAGGGACTTGGGCGACGCACGGCCTCGTGCAGCGAAGGACTAGTGCGGCGCACGGCCTTGTGCGACGCACGGGGTCGTGCAGTGAAGGACTTGGGCGACGCACGGCCTTTTGCAACGAGGGACTCGTGCGACGCACGGGGGTCGTGCGCTTCGCCGCCTTTTGCAGAGAAGGACTTGTGCAATGCACGGGACCACGCAGGGCACGGTGTGGTGCAACAAAGGGCTTGTGCAACGCACAGCGTCGTGCAGTGAAGGACTTGTGCGATGCACGGGGCCGTGCGATGCACGGCCTTCTGCAGTGGGCGACCCGCGCGCTGCACGGCCTTGTGCAACGGCAGCCTCACACGCTGCACAGCGTTGTGCGCTGCACGGCCCTCTGCAGTCGTGCGCCCGTGTGATGCACGGCCTTTTGCTGCGGAGTCCTCGTGCAACGCACGGGGCTCGTGCAATGGCGGCCTTGTGCGATGCGTGGCCTGGTGCGATGCACAACCTCACGCAATACAATCCCCCGTGCAAAGCACGGCCCCGTGCAGCACAGATCCTCGTGCGACGCCTGGCCTCGTGCAACGGCCGCCTTGTGCAACGCACAGCACTGTGCAACGGCAGCCTCGGGCGACGCTTGGCCCTCGTGCAACGCCTGGCCTCGTGCAACACGGGGCCTCGTGCGACGCACCGCCTTGTGCCCCCTTCACGAGCGTCCCCGAGGAGGACGTGCAAGAGACGCAGATGGGAGGGGCCGGGCGATGCCGGCCTCGTGCAACACGGGGCCTCGTGCGACGGCAGTTCCGTGTGGCGGCAGCTTCGTGTGACAGCGGCCGTGTGCGACAGCGGCCTCGTGCAACACGGGGCCTCGTGCGACGGCC